ACAAAAAGTACAAACTGTGGTAAGAAATGTTCACAAACTGGTCTACACAAAGATTTAAAATGTCTGTTCTTGAAAAGATATCATTAAAATTAAATACTAAACAAAGTTCTGTAGGATTCAGGGATATGAGATAGAAACTTGAATCTATGTGAAAATGTGAATAGCTCCGAATATGATTAATGTTAATAAACATAAAGTATTTCTTTTTCTTAATCTTACTTAAAAATTCATAATCATTATTTAAATAAAAACTAATTTATTACCTGCATATTGTATATGATGATAAGTGTACAAAGGACGGGAAAAGTAAATGGAATTTTGTTGTTATAAGAGCTTTACAGTTTGTAGAAAATAGTACAATAGTAACCATAACAACACACTCAACACACACACACACACACACACAGCACGTTAATGATCCATACTGAAATTCCACACAATAAATGCACAGTGCTATAATTTAAAAGACAAAATAGAAAATAAACGAAATAGTGTATAAACTTTTGATTAACAACAAACAAAAAAGGCAGGAAAATAGGAATATAGGTACAAAAATAGGTTGAGCAACTAGAGAATATACATAAAATGATAGACTTAACCCAACCAAACCAATAATTACAGTGAATATAAATGGACTAAACACTGTAAATAAAATCTGAGACAGACTAGAAGAAAGCAACACCTAACTGTATGCTATTTCCAAGATATACTTTAAACATGAAGTCACAATTTGCAAGTAGAAGATAATTAAATAAGGTCAAAGGTATGCTATGCAAACAGCAGGCATGAGAAACTTGGTGTGGCTATATTAACATCAAAGTATTGACCTGACAGATAATATCAGAATTAAAGAGGAATATTTCTCCCGGTACCGGAGAAAAACCAAAAAAAAAAAAAAAAAAAAGAGGAATATTTCATAATAATAAGGGGCCAATTCATCAACATAACAATCATTCATTCATATATGTGTACTAACAGATTTCAAATACATGAAGTGAAACTGGCAGAACTAGAGGGAGGGAGGTTAGAATAATCATCAAAGATACCATTTTAAAACTTTAAACAATAATGAGGATAGAAAATATGTAGAACAGTACCACAGAGTTATTTATTTGGCACTAATAGGACACTACTTTCTTTTTTTTTTTTTTTTTTTTTTTTTTTCTCCGGTACCAGGAACCGAACTCACGACCTTGCACTTGCCAGGCAGGCGCTTTGCCGCTGAGCTAAATCCCCAGCCCCTAGGACACTACTTTCAACAACTTCAAACTATAGATTATTTTCAAGTACATATAGAATGTTTACCAAGAGTATTCCCAGAGGAATCCTTGCCATACACTGGATCAAAAATCCTTAATATTGTAATCATAGCTTTGTAAAGCATATAGCTTTACTGGTCAGTCTTATCAACATTTAAGGCTTTTGCAGTCTTCAGCCGCCATGAATAGTTCTCCCTCTGCCATGTCCCACCTGCCTTGGAGCCAGCTGATTATGGACTGAAATCTCTACACACTGAACTAAATAAACCTTTGCTCTCTTACTATTGGGCACCAGGGAAAAAAAACTTAAAGAAGAAATAACAGCTAGCACAATTTCAGAAACTACCAGAGGGGGAAGCATCTTTCAGTTTATTTTGTGAGACCATTATAATTCATGTACCCAAACTGGGCAATGACACTATAAGAAATAAAAATTATAACATGTTCCTCATGGATACAGATGGAAAATTCGTTCACCATCCACTAACAAATTAAATTCAGCAGCAGTCAAATCCATGATCAGGAGAATCTTTGATGTTTTTCATCAATATTGAAAAGTTCTCAGAATTTGAACATTGCTTTTGCCTCATATTCACTGTCCGGCTGATGTAAGGATTTTAAATTCCTGAAAAGCCTGGAGGAATGGCAGCACCCAGGAAAGTCACTTTAATTCTTTGATTATGATGTGAGGGAGAAATAAACTTTGATAGTGATATAAAGCCAGTGGAAATCGCAGCTGACATTACCTACCATGATCAGTAAGTTTAGTATTTTCAATATATTACTTTTATAACTTCTTTTCAAACTGTCCTATTATGTAAGATTGAGGGACATAAATTTTTCTGATTATTCTACCCGTGGACTTTACTTCTATGTCCTCTTTGATGTATAGTCTACCTCCTCATTTGCATTGTGATTTTCTTTTGGAGTCCTGCATGTGAGGTTACCTAAGTCTCCCCCAGAGCAATCCTTGAATCCTAAACTACGCAGTTGAACATACACTTAAGCTTTTGCACATCTGAGGGTTTAAGTGTATGACTGCCTTTTATCCCTGTCCAGAGTCCAAGCAGAAAACATACTTCCTCCCACTCGCAGGAATAACAATTGCGTTTTCCTGATCTTTTAGATGGAAGGAGCAATTTTTCCAAGCTCCAGACTTGTGTAAATATCTCATCTTTTATAGGTCAAGGTCCAGCTGCCTCATTGGAGTGTGTTAAAATTCAGACTTTCATCCTTGAGTCTACGCAGTTGGTCGGCCTTTCCTGGGGACTACGGTAGCAACACAACTTTCTGAATAACGATTTGGCATTAGTTCTTGGCCCCTGTCTCCATAAGCTCAGAGATGCATCAATTTTCTGTTACGTCCTCTTTACCATCTCTTAACGCTGGGAAAGGGCATGAGGGTGGAGCCTGAAGAACCCCTCCCCCACATCAGCTTTGCTTCTAGAGTGATTTACTTCTTCATTTTACAAGTGAAAAAATTCCAAGGCTCAGACAGGACTGAGTATAGCCAAACTCGCAGACCTACTTGCTGGCGTGATGGTGATGGAAATGTGTCTTTCCACGTTCACATCGGTTAGAAACTGTGAACCAAGTGAGAGAACTGCGCTTATGGGTTCTCCAGAGGCCAGCAAAGGACAGGACATACATAGGTTTTTGATCAGTCGTCAGGCCGGCAAACGTTTTATTTCTAGGTTTCTGATGTTATGGGGGCGGGGGAACAGTTGTAAGGAAGAAATTCTGGTTTGCAGAATGTGGTCCCAATGGCCACACTGAAGAAACGGGTGTTCGGGGCGCGTGTCCCTCTCTTACGAAAGGCAGGGCTCTTTGCCCCATAGGGGGTGTGAACCGAGAGTGTAGGCTGCACTCACAAGCCAGCGGAGATGCTGCTCCAGCGAGAATCTTCTGTGCTTCCTCTATGGTTGTTGGGTTTTATTTTCTTTCCCTAATCCTCCCACACTTGCCAGCAGCGAATTCCTCGCAGCATATTCCTTTACTGAGTGCCTATTTAGTGATGTCAGACTGGGGGCAGATGGAGGGGATGAGCCAGGAGCCACGCGCCAACCCCTTCGGCTCACGGAGCCCTGCTTCCGCTGTCTCCTCCTGGTGGGACAGCTGCTCTCCAGCCCTGGTGCGTCTTCCTTGCTCAAACTCTTCTTCCCAGAGTCATCTTCCCGCTCCTAGGCTCCTACCACTCATCAGAGCCTACACCAGCTAGTTGTTTATACACCTATCAGAGCATTGGCATCAATTCGGCTTCAGAACATTTCTTGCGAGGACGCTGCATTTCATCACTCTTCCAAATCAAATAACTGGGCTCAGCACCCCATTCCTACTGCTGGGGCACCTCCAAGCTCAGGCACTTTTTGAGGAGCTATCCCTCGTTCCGAGTCATCCCAGAACCTGTGTCTTAACCCAGAACCGCGGGCACCGCGGCTGCTGTCTGCTCCACCAGAGGCGAGCTGGGGAAGTCCAGGTGGCTGGGGGTCTGCGGGAAGGCTGCGGCAGTGCCCCTGCGGCGATGCAAGGACCTTGCCTTGGCTTCCACCGTTCTGGAAGTCCGGGTGGCTCCCTCCTTGCCCCATTCCCCCCTCCCAGAAGCATGCCTCCTCGGGAACCCCGAGGACTGTCGCCCTGCACGGTGCTCGGGCTGGTGTCCTGGCTGAACCTCTCCTTGTATGAACTGTACCTTGGGTTCAAAAAGGCCTAGATAGGGTCATTAAGTTGTTTGATTTATTTTTATTTGTATTAATACACAAATTTGCAGTACCTAGGGATTACGTTCATAGCGGAGACTCGGGACAGGCACATAACACACCTTAATTCTTTGTGACCCCCCACTCCCACGTCTTAGTATGAGCACCGAGTTTTGGCTGTTCTTCTAGCAAGATGCTGGAGTTAACTTCTGGAATCTCTTTTAAAAGAAAATGGGACCAAACGGGGCCATCTGCTGAGAACCCAGCACACGAGTTCGCAGCGCCCGCGTTTCCGGCTCGGAGCCCGCAATCCAGCGGCTGCCGGCCGGCCCCGGCTGCAGCACGAGCGCGGGTCCTGCGGGAGCCCGAGCGGCGCCCGCTCCGGGGGGTCGGCGT